GAGTGGAGAAGTAATTTGAGGAACATGAAAGACAAGAAGTCTAGAGAAGAGGTAGAAAATGAATTTGCTAGTTAGGAAATTCTGAAGGAGAGGTAGCTAAATACTAAAATACACCATCAAGAAGAGAGGTTGCTGAAGTTAGCAATACACAAGCAGTTTTGATGAAGCTCAACAAGAATGGGTTGTTCAAAATGAAGCCCTTGTCCAAAGACCCCAACTAAGGGCCACTTCCTACACCACAGACAAGTGTCTAGCTACCTGCCAGGAGGACCAGATTTAACAAAAGGCATCACTTAGACCATGACTTCAATATGTAGAGTGAAAAAACCCCACATATTTATATTACATACATAAAAAAATATATATTGTAGACTTCCTTGCTGCTCTCAAACAGTAGTGGCCTAAGGCATAACTACCCCGTTTTACAGAAGAAAATTCAAGATGAAACAGTCTAAAATCAGGTAACAGGTGTCTGTATCAGCAGCAAATTTCTATTAAAAGACATACAGAGAGACAGACAGACAGATCTTCCTCCTCAGTGATTCAAACCCTGCTTATCTTAATTAAAAAGAAGGAAGCAGCAGAAATTCTCCTGGATTGATGGACTATCTGCTGCGGGGACAGTCCAGTGGGGACATCTAGTGAAAAACACTGCTCCACAGCTTCTGTGCAAGGCAATGTCTACTGAAGTGGTCATATTCTGATCCCAGGTGTCCGTGCAGGAGTGAGCTGCAGTCCACAAGAAGCGGAGGCTGCCAGGCAGGGGTTACCGCACGGGGGATGAGGCTGCTGCGGCTCTGGCCTAAGCGCAGCCTGTGAGGTAATGTGAATTCCTTGGCTCCAAGCAAGCACCTGAATTCTTTGGAAACCACAGGAATCCGGCACAGAAAAGGTAAATATCCCAGTGGAGCCAGTGCTAATTAAGAAGCCAGGCTACTGAAGGAGAGGATGCTGAGAGGCTGAGGGGGGTGAGCTCAGGCGGTGGGATGGCAGCTGCTGTGAAGCCCAGCTGCCTACCCCACCATTACAGGAACTCTTGTCCCTCTGGAATGACTCCCCTAGCTGCTGCTCCTTCAGCCCTTTGCAAGAACATTTGGTTTTCAGCATATTTTGCCTTTTTTTTCCAAATCTATTTTTCAAATTCAGTATAAATCTGAGTAAGAAATTCCTTCTGGGCTAGGACCAGCCATTCATGCTCAGAAATAAGGCTGCCTAGCACTAGTAGTTTAGGCAAAGAAGCAGGCTATAGAGAAGTCTCCCCAAAACAAGGAGCCATTTCACTACCAATTCCCCCAACCATGTGTCAAGTCCCCATTATGCCTGCAGGCACCACAGAAGACAGGTCAACCAGGCTCCTTTCTGTCCCACAAGGAGGTATACAGAAGGAGAGAAAGTTAGACAGGAGAGAGAGATGTCCCTAGCTGGCAAAATGGGGAAGGTTCACAAACAGCACAAGCTATTCCTGGCCCCATGTCCTCTTCAGCTGTACTTCAGACACAAGTCAGGCTTGTTATTCTCTTCTTGTATGAGTGCTCCTCCAAAAACCAGCATAATCCACCAATTCAACAGTTGGCTGTAAGACCAGCCTTGGGACTTCCACACAACTGGGCTTGGTGAGTCACCTTCAGAAGCATGTCAAAGTTTGTAATTACAACTGTAGCTTATTAACAATGCACCTCTTATTCGTATTAGGATATAAAAGGTATGTCAATAAATATATTCCATAATATATTTTTGAAGTCTTAGAAAAATAAAACTACCTAGATTTTTAACATGTGATCAGATGACTGAGTTACACTCTCAGACAAACGTGGGCCAAGCTTGCCAAAGACCATTTCATTCTCCAAACCTGTGCCTTCAATGCAAAGGTCCCAGCTACAGTTCTCCAAGCTGTGAATCACAGATGGCAAATCCAGATGATAACTGCCCTTTCCAGCATCAAGTTACTAAGTATTTGCCAACTTAACACATGCACAGCAGCACTTTGTCTACTTTTTTTTTTAAATACTTACTACAAAAGCGTTCGACACATTTTTCAATCCAACACAGAAGGCTCTTAAGTCACTCAGTGCTGCTTTATGCCTTAACCACAGCTTCAGTCTTGTTTCAAGCCTCAAGAAACATTAAAAACCCACCCCACTCCCTCCAGACAGATCACTGAATATCCCCAAATGAACCTATTAGCAGCATTCCTTCTAGAAGTGGACCAGGTCCAAAATACGCAAGACAAGGTTTGATAGTTTGAAGGAGGCAAGACCAGAAAAGTAGTACTGTTACGAAAGATGAAAACGTAGAGTGTGTTCACTGATACCATTCTTAGTAATAATCCAGTAGTCTGATACCTGACTCTGATGACCTTAAGAGTGGGGTGGTAATAGCTACAAAATGAACCTACTCAACATCAGCACTGCCTAAGTTCTACTCAATATTCTTTTAGGGGATAAACAAACAAAAAAAAAGCTTTGAGGTCAAGAACTTCCTGAAAAAATGCACTGAAAAAGAACAGAACTTCAGCCTGGGCAAACGAAACAGTTATTCAGTACTTCCAGCACAGATCAAGCAGTAATAGCTGAAGGCTTAGTTACACACTTCTGGGTACATAACCTTCATATCTCCTTCAAAGGAAGCTTCTTTCTTCACTCTTCCACATGGAAAGTGAAACACAAGTTACACATGCTGAATCAACAATCCCTTTCTTCTCCTCAGCGCTGAATCCTCAAATTCCACTCTACATCATGTCATGACAAGTCTAGCTGTGCCAAAAGAAACCAGGCCTAAGGAAGTATCTAGTCAAACATCAGAAATGTGTATTATACCAAGTCTGTTCATTTTAAAGATCATTACATCTTATGATTTCCTGATAGCACTCCTTGTCTAGTTGAGGTCACCAACCTTACTGCAACAGTCAGGTTCCTCTTTTACTTGGAATATGCAAAGCATAACATTCGAGGGCAACATTACCTTTCAGACAGACTAAGAAAAAGGGAAAAAGAAAATTAAGAGAACAACCCAGAAGAGGTCACCCTCATTACACTTCAGAGACTACCTATCTTCAGAAAGCAAATTCAAAATACGGATATTCACCATAGTGCACCACAAGCACTAGTGGAGGTCACGAAAACAGACTCCTTTGTTCTGGTGGGTTTCCCCTGAGATTGCTTCAATACTACCTTTGATTCCAGGCCCTGATCTTACCTCCCAGTTCTCCGCTACAAACTGCTTTCACTCTCAACCAACACAGGGTTTATTTTCTTAAGTAAAGAATAAAAAACATCTTCCAATCTCAAAAGTTAAAGCATTGCCCCCCTCCCCACACAGCGAAAGTTTTGACCCAGCTTTAAACCAAAGCATTACACTGTGTGAGGCAAAGAAGGGTCTCTCCCAGCACTTAATTCGAACTGTTAAATGGAAGTCAAAAGGTAAATAGGAAGCCAGAATCCAGTAGCTCTGGGTTCCTTACCTCTCCCCATCTGAATTTGCTAACAGGGTACGAGAAAAACCCAAATCGCTAAAGCTAAAGACCATTACTGCCATCTGGAGGCCATACAGAACAGCCCACAAAGTTTTCTGTCAACCTCTGCTCAGGCTTGAGTGCTGTCCTCCACAGATAGCTTGCCATCACTTGCCCACACAAAGTAGAACGCTTGTCTCTTGCACAGATTAATTTTTCCCTAAGTGAACTCCTTTGTTACAAGATCACCAGAACTACCTTTAAGACATTAATGATGGTGCAAATCCTATTTTGGAGGCCAGCTATGCACTGCCTATTTTTAGAACATCCTAGCAACCTACTCATATATTCAACACTGATGATCTTTTTTCTCCCCTCTTCACTTTCCAATAACATGCAATATTAGCAACTAACAATTAAATTGCTGATTCCAAGAGTCTTGCATACTAGGCATGCTTAGGGCTCCTTTTCTAACGTGAATATAGTTGTCAAGTTTTCCACTGACCCAGATGAGACTTTCTGCTCCCTTTAGGGAAACAATCTCTTCACATTATCTTTGCAGGCAGACGCACATCACAACACACGTGAGGGGGTTCATCAATTTAGAGACGGATATTTATTGTGGAATCATTATTAATATATCATTTTGGATTGAGTATCTGCTTTGGATAAAGGTAAGTTGGATTCAGTATCTGCTTAAGTAAGAGCCATTCAGGCTTGAACCTTAGAGATATTCTTTTCAGGGTATGTCAGATGTGCTTGTAAGACAGACTCAGCATCACTTGAAACTGTAACAGAAGGCAGTACAATGATGGTCTCTTCTCAAACACCACTACAGTTAAGTTCCTGGTCTGTTGGAAATTCAGAGGGGTCATTATTCCAAATTTATTACTTACTATAGACAGGTATTTGGCTAAACTTCTGTGATGAAAAGAAACAGGTATTTTTAATAACCATTCCTCCTGAGAATCTTAAGTATCAGTCATGACTTACATGCAAAAGAAAACTGAACTTTTGCAGGATAAGGACAGCGAACTAGTCTAAACCCACTTACTCAATACTGTAGAAACACAAATACTGAACAAAAATTCAGAAGAGCAGTTGGAAGTATTAAAGGACAATACAGCCAACAATAGGTCTCCAACTTCTTTTGTCTTTAGGATTAAACAGAAATCGAGAAAGCTCAGATAACCTTCCCCTTGGGTGATGGAGAAGGGGCACAAAGGCATCAAGAATCCAAAGAGATTTCAAGAACCACCCAACCTTGAGAATGAACATGCCAGTAATGGTGCGTATGTGGCCATTCAACCCTTAAGAGTTGAAAACTTGCTTTATTTATTACATATGTAATAAAGTCACTAAAGATCCTATCACCTATATAAAGAAAACTGATGAGACACAGCATGATGAAGTATCATATATTTAAACTCTGCAGAACTCTCTAACTGGCACTTCCCTTATTTGTTATTGTGTCAGAGAACAGAGGCAAGCCAAGACATCTCTGGATCACCAAGTGCAGGTACACTGAGAAAGAAGGAACCTTCCCTACCTGGCCAATCCTTCCTCGTAGAGATAGATGACAAGTGGATCATAGGATGTAACGAGAACATAGAGGCGCACATCGAATTTGAAATCTGAAATACAGTTGTCAAGAGTTAGCGACCTCAAATATCTTTCAGACATCACATCCAGTTGAGGAATTTCAACAAGCCTGGAGAGCAATAAGCCATTATCTGCTGCTGACATAGGTGCCTGAAGCTTTCCCAGTTGAAAAGCTTCCAGATTTTAAGGAATTCACTAGTTACATTTTTCCAGTACTAGAGGAAGATAGACTACTCAATTATTCAACCAAAATCCTACAAAGGTTGGACAGATCCTCAGGTTTGGGGTTGGGGGAAGAGAGAAAAGCAATTCCTAAGCATACTCACCATCTATGAGCAGGGGGTTGCTGATGTAACGAGAAACCAGGATGTCATCTTCCAGGACAATCTGGTTTGGCTACAGAAGAACAGAGAATCCAAAAGTGAAACAAACAGGAAACTTAAGGAATAAGAAAATGACTAGATCAAACCCACCATTTTTTTCCAGCCTTTCCCTCCTCAAGCCACTCTGTACCAAAACACTATGTCCAGGAAGGAAAACAAAAACAAAATAAAAAAACCCACACCACTCTTAGTCACAACATACTTAAGGTAATTAGATTCTAACCAGAAGCCTGGGAATTATTACATTGCCAAAAAACCTGCCTATTTAACCTTCCAGTTAAGGTGCTCATCAGATTAGAATACAGATTTAACATGTTTTACAATGATGTAAAACAGGCAGGAAAAAAACTCACATCTAAGTTGCAGCTGTCATTCTGTTTGCTTCTCAAGTGTTTAGCCAAACACAAGGAGGAGGGATGTAGAAGACAATGGAAGGAGTACAGATTTAGAGGACACTGGAAGGAGTTCGTAACTACAGTTTGTGAGGAAGTCTCAAGTGAAGAAAATGACTCCTCGACTTGTGATCTCCATAGCTAGATCCTGGGCTGGTATCCAACCTTTTTGCCTCCATCAGTCAATACCTTCTACTGAGGTTCAGTTCACAGCAGGGGCTGCTGTACCAGGAAGATGCTACCCTTGTAGCTCAGAACAGAAAGCTCTATGACAAATATACTTCACAAAGTCACAGGATCTGTTGAAAAAGCTTTTACTTTTTGCTGTATGCAAGTCTCTCTTGTAACCAGTTTTAACTACTTATACAAAGTTTCCAGCAAAACATTTTCTTGCCTTCAAATTGCAAAAGAGCCAAGAGAACCCCCATCATCCTGCCTTTATTCAATTTTGCATGTATCCAGCCACATTACTAGCATCACGAGCAGGAAGCCTAGGCATATAGAGTACACATATACTATGTGAGGGAACAACTTCAACTTCCCTCAGCACATCACATGAAAGCGACAGCCTATTTTATTATGGATCAGAGAAATCCAAAGGTTTATTGTTTTGTTGGGGGTTTTCTGTTGTTGTTTTTAAACACTTTTATTATGAGATTCTAGAATGCACTCACTTAATAGCATCACACTGAAGGAAAATTAAATCTTTGCGCCAAACTAGCTGAAGTGGTTCTGGAATAGATATACACAAAGGGAGATTGGTCCCAGAAGGGTCCTTTCCCGAGTTCATGGCTAACTGCCATGTAAGCCTGAGCTCGTTCCTCCCTTTCAAGCAAAGAAAAAGCTGAGTGAAGTTCTGGAAATACTTACCTCATACACTTGGCGAATTGCTCCTTTATTTTGTGGGAAATGATCCAAGTAGAGAACAGATGAGGCAGTATGACCCCTTCAGTGCAGGGGAGGCTTAAGGGGTTTGAGTGAGCAAAACCAAGATGACTCACCAGTCAATTTTGCTGCTGGGAATATTTATTGGAATCCCCTCGTGTGTTTGGCTCCTGCCCAGGTGTATTTGTTACCTGTGACAATCTAACTCCCTGCAAAGCCCCAAAAGGGTAAAAGATACTATAACCAGCACACTGATTTCAAAGAACTATCCCCATTACATATCAGTAAGGGCACGCTGCCATTTAGATAACACAGCTCTGAGACTGCATTATCTAAATGACATCCTATTGTATCACATAAGGTTTTGTTTTAACTGGTCTTTTCCAGGAGAGAAGAGGGAGATAAAGGAACTGTTTGACGCCTGTTTAGGTCACACAGGGAAACCACCATGGAGAGTTTGGGGAACCTTCCCAAGGCCAGCCTACTGTCACCCACAAGGAGAGCATAAAGCAGCACAGCTTCCCAAACTGTCTCAGCTTATTAGGATGAAATTTGTGCTCCCTAAGATTTGAAAGCAGGTTGCAAGTCAAGCATAGCATACAAAGAAATAGATTGCTTTTGGTTACGCAGCATAGTCCTGGGCAGGCTTTGCCAGCTGCTCAGGACTTTTGAGCTGCTCACCAATGTATGGTTGAAGTCCAGAGCAGGACCAGTATCTGGTTAGATGTTTCCATGCCCCTTGCCGGCAAACCTGGCATAGTTTTGCAGACAGTGTTAGTGAAGAGCAGTCCTTTTGCTGAACACTTACGTTGTTTATCAGGTAGACTCCTCGACCCCTGGAAGAGGCCACAGGCTTCACTATCCATGGGCCTCTGTCCTTAGAATATGTATCTGGTTAAAAGAAAACAGCACAAGTCTGAAACATTTTCCATTTTGCTTATTTATGAGGAATAAGAGTCAAGAATGTTGCCTACAGTAAAAGCTTTAGCAAACTCCATGACATGATCTAAGTCTACTTTTTTAATGTCTTATTTCACCCCTTGGGACTCACTGCAATTATTATGGCCCCTTCCTGAAGCCCCTCCTGCTGCTCCAAGATTCATTTCTCTGCCCTATGCTACCTTTTAGCATTTTTCTCCTCAGTACACCCAGATATTAGTCAGGGATATTGTGAAGTTGATTATCAACAACACTGTGCACACACACAAAAAGCTCAATTCTGGAGCCTTAAGCCCATATCAGCTTCTTGAAGACTTACACAGGCATGGAGTAAAAAGCAGAGTAGAAGTTACACTAAAAAAAAAAAAAAAAAAAAAATCACTGGGGCTTTTTTCCACCCTGCAACAGATTGGTCCAAGGAGCAGAGGAGATACCCTACACACACACACATATTTTTTGCTGTTTAGCTCCTGAACTGGCCCCTGAGGGTTTGGATGAGCTTCAGTACCTGAGCAAAGGGAGATGATGGGAACGTGCAGGAGCAGGATGGCAGACCTGAGGCCTTCCAGGACAGCTGGCCATGACAACCCGCATCCAACAATGGCATTATGCCTTCTGAAAGTTCACCATAAAATTCCCCAAGATTTCTTGCCATTAAATAGATTTGCAGGATTCAATATTGTGAATTATTAGGAAAACAATAATACTGTAATTGATAAAAAAACCCCAAAGAAAGCCCCAAATCAAATCCCTCTGCCTCCACATCCAGTAAGTAGAAATTTAAATAAAAAAAAAAAAAAAAAAAAATCACTTGGGCCTTTTTCCACTGTCTTTCCACCTTCCTCTAATTTTGTTGTCTTAGCCACCCACATGATCAACAGGCTGGGACATTAAAAGTAATTCCTTTCCCCCCCACCCAGTTATTTTACTTTAGGTCCAGGCATCATCAGCCATTCACTTACTGCAGAAGTCCCGGTACTCCGCCGGGAGGATAAAGGTCTGAGGTAAGATATGGAATGTCTTGAACCCATGGGCCAGCTGCATGCGACTGACATTCTTGTACAGTCTGTCCTTTCGTGTCAGTTCATATGACCTGAAGTCCCAAAACAAAGAGACTGTATCTATTTTTTTCCCCAACATAAAAAAAACCTACATTACAGCAACGCTTCATACTAGTTACTGAAGTATCTGTAGCTCTGTCAGATGTCTAAACCCTAACCTGCAACTACTCTTCAGTTTTACTGTCTCTGTCCTATAACTGTATTAATATCCATCCTCATTTGTAGCACTTCTTGCAAGTCCCAAGGCTGACTGAAGCACAGCGAACTGTTTTAGTGGTGTTTGTAAACTTTAGCAGGTGAGGTATGACTATCTCCATAAATAAAAACACAAAGGCCAAATGTTTTACTTATACCACCAAATAAAAGAAAAAAAAATCCAGTATTTGGGCTACAGACAAGCAGCTCAGCTCACACGCAGTCTCCTCAAAACCGCAAAGACCATTTAGAATAAAGACAGCACATGTCACAGACCCAGTGCATTGGGACTTTATGGTATCACATATACTTCATTTTTTTAGAGCTATCTATGCTCAGGTTTTTGCAAACCATCACAAAGATGTTCAGCAAAACACAATATCAAGGCCTTACCTAGGGAAGTGATTGACTTTTTGAATATCTGTAAGGGAACGCAGCAAGTAGGGCTTCAAGTGTGATCCTGTCCACATGAGATTATAATCGCTGCTATTAGGGTGCACCTAAAAAGCAACATAAAGAACACCATTCACATAAAAACATAGAACTAATCAAAAAGAACCACCACTTGTCCTACAGACCATGACCTTACATCTACGAGACCAAAGCAATTCTAGTTTAAGACAATCTCCTCTATCCAGCTCTGATATTAGGGCAAGTCAGACTCCTGTCTGAAGCTACTATACAGTGGTGCTGGGAAATAATCTTGTCCTATTTTTATAAACAAACTTGTGGTTTTGCTCTTGTTATAGACTGTTTAAACCCAATTTGTAAAGCGTTTTAGATTTCTTCAGGAAACTTGCAAGACCAATTCCTTAACTTGGCGTTATTCAGAATAAAATCCACCACACACACATCTCTCAAGTTGTCATTAGCTGTTTATAGGACGTTCTTTAGAGCAAGACAGGTGCTAGAAGAGAAACGCGAAACACTGCATCAATGCTTCCATGAACTTGCACAGGCTGAGAGACTAAGTCCTTCAGATCTTCCCAAGGGTGTGAGACGATGCTTCAAAAGTAAGAGAAAAAAAAACATATGACCCAACTTCAGCATCCCTTTTTCCATAGTTTTGCAGGCTTAAGGCTAAAGGGTATTCCTGTGATAGCACAAAATCATGACACATCTCCTGTCCGAGTAGCAGAGTATGTAAAAAAAACAAACTTCAAGAGGGTCCACAGCAAGTTCCTTCCTGGTTCTAACCCTGCAGAGTGAAAAAAATCAAACAAACCAACCACAAAACAAAACACAAAAACCTTAAAAACATAATAACCATCAGCACCACCACCTCCCAGCCCAGACATAATGAGATCTGAAGATTCATTGTGCTCACCTCATGGAAGCCATGGGCAGTCAGAATGCTTCGAACCAGACGGCTGTCTGTTCGCACAATCTTATATGACAAATGGTAGCGCTCTGTTAGGAGGGCAAGAGACACGAGATTAGAGTCTGCACTGAGAAGAATAACCCAAAGTTACCTATGCTACCAAAGAACAGAGAAAAGCACTGTAGGACTCAGCACAGTACAGCTGCATTTAATCCCCAGTGGAGCATCCACACAGTAGCAGCGCATGACAGGCAAAGGGTGATAAGAAACACCTGTCCAACTCTTGGACTCCAATGGACATAACTCCAATGATGGCATTGAACTGACTTACATCAATCCTTCAGTATAACATCGCCACATCACTGAATCCTATTGTGTCAAAATAACACGCAGGACATCCTAGCAAACATTCAGATTCCTCTTTTTTGTTTGCTTTTAAACAGCTCTTTATATAGATTGCTTTATAACACTCAAAACATGATTCCAGCTCTTTCTTCTCTATTGAAAGTTGGTATTCCTAGCTAAAAGTACTCACACCATATGCCCCTCATTGACACGGATAGCTTATATGACCACTTTTTAGATCTTGAAAATCCAAAATAAGATACTAAGTTTTTGTTCACATCTCATTCACCTGTACTGATCTTCCAAAAAATAACTGCAAAGAATAGCAGGAAATAAAGCAAATAGGACAAGGAAATAAAAAGAGGAGAAAAAAGAAAATCACTACCCAAGTACAAAGTCATAAAAACAAAAGCAGTAAGCAACACTGGAGGCGTAAGAAACAGAAAGCAAGCAGCAAGACTAGAGGCCAGTTTTCATACAAAGGATGTGGCAATCCATAAAAACAGTATATCAGGATCTGGGACCAGACAAAGCTTAAGAAAAAAAAAAAGCTCAAGTTGCAGTATACAACAGTAGACTTGTTAAACCACAAAAAGTCTCTACCTCCTGAGAAAAAAGCAGAAGAGACACCACGCTCCAGTTAGGACAGAAGTTACAATTACCATCAGCTTCTGCCACCATTCAAGTATGTTTTTAACTCACATGAAAAGGATCAGGAGTTTCCACACATAAATCACCTTCTCCACCCCTTACCCCAGTGAGCCAGAAGCATTTCTGCTTGAATAGGATATTAGAAATGAGGGCACCAATTACCTAAGAAAGGGAGAAGCAAGAGAAGAAAGAAGCGTCAGCATCTTCACAAAAAGAAGATGAGTAGATTTTAGCTTTTCTCCAACTCAGCACATCCAGAATGAGCTCCTGGCTGTACACACCCGCAAGAGCCAACCCTCGTAATCCAGAGTGACTGTTTATAACAACCCTGCCTCTTATTTAGAGGCTCTTCCCTATTTGACACTAGAGAGGTTTGGTCATCCAACTCAAGTGCTGCCAGAAAAGCAATCATTCTGCCTATGGCCTTACTCACAGTTGCAAGGCTGAAGACGCAGAGATTTATTACTATACTACAGCTCACTACTGTTCTTACCACTGTGGGGCTGGCTGCTTTACTTCCCTCTCAAAACTCACTGCAATGATTGATTTTAAGTTCTTAGCTACAGAGTGGTAAATTTATATTCCAGTCCTAAGTTCCAGCCTGGCCTCCAAGTTCAACTTGCAAGAGGACATTTCCAACTCAAAACACATCAAGACCCAATGGAAGGACAAATATAGACACTTCTCACAATGCAAAAGACATGATAAACATTCACCAACTGATCAAGCGTTTCTGAACATCTCAGTGCCCAGAAACGAGAGGGGATTGTAATTTCCTTCCTACTGTGTCCTCTTCCCCACCACAAAAAGAAGGGAACACCCACGTAAGACTTGCACCTCACACCTTCAGGCCAAAAGCTGGCACATAGCTGCACCCACCTCCAATTAGGCGGAGGTAGCTGTCGTTGGTCAGAATGGCTTCAGCATGAAACACCATGATGGGGATCCGCCTGCAGCCGCCACCAGTCCACTTGATACATGGATGATCTCTGAAATGGCAAGATAGTCAGGATAAGCAACTACCGAGCCTCACACACACAGCAGTTACTTACTTATGGTGAGGACACAGCAATTCTCTGGGCTTGCCCATGCTTGCCCACCCAGCCTCTGGGCAGGACACAGGCAAACACGCTGTGGGAAAATAACGGGAGGTCAGTAGACACGCTCAAGTGACCTGTAGCTGGGGTGTAGAAAAATACATGTATCATTCTAACTCCTGTCTCTCTTTGTGCGTTTGACAAGTAGAACATCTGTGTTCAGATAAAATGGACCTATGATAGAGGCACCCTATCGAACACGCTTGAGATTCCTGCCCTGCTGTGGGAGAGATCAAAGCACAGCAGAAAACTACACCTGCTGAAATTCCTGAAAAACAGATGCAAGCAGCAGTTTCAGCAGCCCTCCAGCAAGGCTCTGCAACGCCTGCATCCCTGCTTATGTGACTCTGCCCAAGTGCTGCTTTGGGAATCCCACGGTTGGCAAAGTAACAATACCAAATTTACTCTTTGAATTTCAACCACGGTTTTGCGGTTGTTCGTGCACCCTATTGATACTCAGTTATAAAGGGAATCTTCCGCATCATCCTCTTTTTGGGTTGGTCTTGCCAGCCTAAGTCGGAGTTCAGTTTAATTTGTATTTATTTTACTGAATGTAATTTGGCGAAACTCCAGAAATTTTGACAGCTGCAGCTCTCTGGATTTATAGCCTGAAAACAGAATCTATAATTCAGGATAAACCATAATTGCTGGTATCCACACAACCAAACCTTAAAACACAGGTTCAAGTCTCCAATTGAAGAACAGTAAATCAGTGCACACTGCCTGGTTGTAATCCAGGATTCTGAAGTGCACAAAAAGGCACTCATGCAGAATTTGAGAGACTACAAGAGGCTTGGCTCAACACAACGGCTAAACTTGTGTGATCTTTTTTAATTTCTGCCAGATGCAGTGCCATGCAAGCCCAGAATACAACAATGATGCCCCCAGCCAGCCACTTGAGCTACAGGTTCCAAGGTACAGTGATCAGTTCTGCCCAAAACAAGACTACACTGGAAACCATGATCACCTCAGAGGAATTAGGGATACACACACACAAAAAAAATTAAGATCTGTTACATAAAATCCTAAGATCACAGAAAGAAAACCTGTCAACCTCTCTAAGCAAATAAATCTCAGACTGCTTATTACTCAATGCACAAGGAAATGAAACCATGAAATTAACAGAAAACAGAGACTAAGGGTTTGGAGAGACACACCTCTGCCTACTCAGACAAGGAGAAATATAAAGAGTGGCAGAGACACACAGAAGCACTTGTCTATAGAATGTGCAAGATCATTGACTGCCAAAGGTTTGGAGAAACTACAGAAGACAGAGCACTTCCTATACTACAGAAACAAAGGTAAAAGAGCAATTTTCTGATGCTAGGACAAGTAAGTACTCTTAAGTGTAACCTTGGTCCTCTTAACCAAGTTATTAACATTAGTACCCAGAAAAATTAACTTCACAGCATTCCTACCTTCTTCCACCACCTCTAAAGAAAAAAAAAAAGTTAAAAAAAATCAACTACAGGTATTTAGTTAGCTGAAAGAGATCCGAGAAGCTTCCAGAATTTACAATACAGGCCAGAGCCTTATATAAGCGGGAAACGAGCTGAGGCAACAGGAGGGGAGTTTATGTTAAGCCTGTCCTGAGGATTTGCAGTAAGGCTCAATCCTCCAGGTGACAGTCATTCACTCCTAGCGTGACCCTCGGTCACTTGATGCAGACACATGGTTGCAATTATGTTCTGGGTAAAGGCCTAGCTCCAGACCTTTCCATCCACAAAGGTCTGGCGAGTGAGCCAACACTTGGTATGAAGCAACGATCCTCTAAATGCCTTAAATCACTGCAGTTTGCACCTGGGCACTCAGTCACAATATGCACCCAAAAGAAAACAAACAGGGCATATTAAAGTAGGTCCCGCTGAAACAGAAAAGAGATTCTACTCTGGGAAAGAATAAGGGAGTGACTCCTTCACAAGCAAAGATACAAGAAGTTACTAAACAAAAGCTGGAACAAACAGACACTAGTAAGTAAGAACTCTAGGAGTTGAGTTCTCACAAGGCAGTTTTTAAATAAGGGCATTAAACATTGCATATCTGTCTACTGTACAGTAGATTTCCATTCTCCACAGCTAAGTAAAAACTAAAACCACACAAAAAACTAAACAAACAGAAAGAAAGGACACTCATTTCCTTCATTTGCTTAAATATCAAGAAAGTTCACGGCCTAGGAGCATGACAGGAAGAGATCAATGAAACTACAGACTTTTAGAGTAGCCAAGGAAAAGCTGCGCCTCCAACCCTGATGAATATGGTGGTTTCTTAGGGTATAAATGTAGGTAGCCTGCCCACAGGCTTGAAGCTCAAACCAACTGTCTTCCACTTCACAGGCAGGAAGAGGGTACAGAATGCAACTGTCTTTTCAGACTAGTACAAATCCTGCAGGAAAACAGAAACAGTTAAGAGGGTTTTTTCCACACTTACTCCAGCCCATCTACATCTTCCTCCTCGTCCTCCGAGGACGAGCCAGCTTCCTCCAGGTCTCGAGCCATCCCAACCGGCATTTCCTCTGGGAGTTTTCATACAGCCCAGTCTCCGTAGCCTCCAAGACTCTTTCCTGCAGATTCACAAGATCTTGCAAGAGCAGTTACCTGCAATAAGGATTAAAAGCATGCACACATGGCTGAGCGGCGCAGGAAGAGAACTGAGGTAACTTCACTCCCACCTCCTGTCAATAGGTATTTCTCACGGGACTATCAACAAGCTCGTTACAAGCTGTAAATCACCTCCCAGCCGGGGGGGTGTAGGAAGAAGCATCACCTTCCAGCAGATTATTCCCCACCTGCCCGTGAGAGTCACCGGGGCGCATACCGCCGAAGCGCCTCCCCGCCCTGCCCTGCCTCCGGCCGCAGAACCGTGCCAGGCCCGGCCCGGCCCAGCCCCAAACACCTGCTCCTCCCCGCCACCGAGACCCCCCCCGCAACGCCTGGGGTGAGCCGGGCACCGTAACGCCTCCACCGGCCCAGGAACGGAGGGGCGGCTGGGGCCTGGCCTACCCCGCGGCAGCCCCGGGAGGAGCAGGAGCGGCCGGGGAACGCCCGAACAGCCGCGACTCCCTCCCCGGGGCCACCGGCCAACCACCCCCTCGCCCTGAGACAGCTCCCCGTACCTGCTCCCGCATCGCCCCGGCTGGCGGGGCTAGCGACCCAGCAACCGCGGCCCCTCCCGCCGCTTCCCCGTTACTACAACAACCGGCGGGCGCTGGCCCCGCCCCGCCCCGCCCCCGGCGCGCAGGCGCAACAGCCCGGCCGCGCGCCCGGCCTCCGCTTCCGCCTCCCCCCTCCCCGCCAGGCCAGGAGGGGCGGGGCCGCCTCCCGGAGCGGTGCGCGATCGGATTGGCGGCGCAGCCCCTCACGTCCGCGTGGTGCGTGGATGGAGCGGCGCTCCCGCGGCCAATCGGAGCGCTGGGCCGGCGAGAGAGGGGCGGGGCTCCGGTGAGGGAGCGCGGGCGGCGGCGGCGGCGGGCGGGGAGCACGGCCCGGTTCCCTGCGGTGGTGCCGGCCGGGAGGGAGGATGAGCCGGTTCCTGAACGTGCTGCGCAGCTGGCTGGTGATGGTATCGGTCATCGCCGCCGGCAACACCCTGCAGAGCTTCCGCGACCACCGCTTTCTCTCGGAGAAGCTGTACACCGCCAGCCCCGGCCTCGGTAAGGGCCGCCCCGAGGCCTGGGGGTCTCCTTCCAGCCTCGGCGCGTCCTGACCGCCCCCGGCCGCCTCAGCGGCTGCTCCCGCCGGGGAGCGGGGCCTGTGCGCGGTCTCCCCATGGGCTCCCCTCCCTTCTTTGCGCAGTGAACGGGCTCCAGGCTCGCACCTTCGGCGTCTGGACCCTGCTGTCCTCGGTGATCCGCTGTCTCTGCGCCATCGACATCCGCAACAGGACGTACGTAACGGAGCGCACCGGAGGGGTCTGACCTGCCGGTGTGCTCGCTAGTCGCCACCCGAATAGCTAGGTTAGGGGGGCAGCGCGGAGGAGGTGGGGAAATCTGTAGGGCTGAAGGCGTTCCCCCTGAAAAAGCTTCAAGAGCAGCCTGGGATTTGTGTCTGAACTCCTGCAAGGGAGAGCCTGCACGTTTTGAGCTCTGTTTCTTAGGTCTGGCAGAAATTGGTAGATCTGAGAACTTCTCGTGTCACAAATTTTTGAGCTCCAGCTTGGAAAGCATCTTCTGATGGCATTACTGCTCTGTTGACATCGAGCTGTTGCTAATGCTGTGGTCTGATGGATGCCTGACGCTTCTTTTGCTGTGACAGCTCAGCTAAAAGCTGTGGCAGGTTGAGAGGCCCCTCACAGTGGTCTTAACCCTCTTTTTCCTTACACTCTTGTCTGGAGCTGAGGACAAGGCCCGAGGGGCAGCCTGGTGCTGTGGCGGGAGGCAGGCCATTTCTCCCTGTGGTAACAGAAATATTTCTGAGAGGGATTTCCAAGCAGGGTGACTCTGGGTCTGTGCTAGACAAAGCCTGTGTTGGAGGTTGATAGAACTCACTCTTTTGTCACCACCTCCCCCAGCCCTGCAGCAGAAGCCACTGTTCACCTGGCAGCATGTCCTTGGATTGCCTAGGTTTGTCTCTGGTAGGGAGCTGCAGGTGGCAGGAGGGTTGGAACTCAATGATCTTTTAAGTTCCCTTCCAACCCAAACCATTCTATGATCTATGATATGACTCAGTTACCTGGTTTTAGGGGATTGAGGCAATGCCAATGGCCACGAAGCCAGTTGTTTTTAGAAGGATTTTTTTTTTAATCTTGTGTCTTGTGAACCTGCTCCCTTTCCACCGCCGTGGCCCCTAGAGGGTAGCAGAACACAGGTGGGAAGATGTGTTGGGTGATGCAGCCCGTAGTCATCAAGTCCTGTCACCCTAGTTCTCAGCTCATCCAGTTCTCGCCCTCTTTGTGTCTTATTTCACTGGTGCCCTACCTTTGCTCTCCCCTCTTTCCCTGCCTTCAGGGCAGATAATGCCTGTGACTTTCACCACGCCACTGGAAACGTTGCCCTAGTTCTCCTGTCAGCAACTGCCCAGGGAGCTTTTGCACCTCACTAGGCAAGGGACCAAGTGTCCTCTGTGCTGCCACAGTGAGGACAGATGGGGCAGCATGCAGATTTGTTTCTTTTCCACTCAGCTGTCCTCGTGCCCATAACATGGGCTAAACGATAACCTGCTTCTGTTCTGCTCTCCAACAGCCTCTATTACATCACGCTCTTCACCTTCTTTTTGGCCCTTGTTCACTTCCTCTCCGAGGTCTTCATTTATCACACTGCAGCACTGACAATTGGAGTTATGGCACCCCTCATGGTAGCAAGTAAGTAGAGCTCTGCATTGTCCCCCCACAAACTCTTCTTGGAGCTATAACCCCCTGAAAAACTGCAGGGGGGCTGTGAGCTAAGGGGAGGTGATGGTGGGAGGAAATGCCTCATCTCCTGTGCAGCGTTTCCTATGTAACTCATCCTGTATCTCCACCACAGGTTTCTCTATCTTGGGGATGTTAATTGGCCTGCAGTACCTGGAGGTAGAAGAACTGTCACAAAACAAGAAGAAAAACTGAAGCTGAGGGCCCTGTGTAGGTCAGCGTTGTTTCCTGTTGTCACTGCCAAACTTCCACTAAATCTCAGCTGAACTTCTCCAGGACACCAGTCCAAGTGGTGGTTCGATGTTGGACTCTGTCAATCATTCTTCATTACCAAGTGTTTTTCCTTGTCCAGGCAACATTTCAACTGGTTGATGTCAAAGACCAAGTCCCAGAGGAGTTTGTGTCAAGGCTCGCAGGGTGCAGTTGGTGACTGCCGTCCCGGAGGACAGCGGGGAACGTCTCAGGTGTGCCCAGTGCACTAAGGACGTCTCTCCCAGTATACCTGTGGGGAGGAGGTGTAGGGCTGCCCAGGATCCACCCAACACTTCGGACCAGAAAGAGAGAATGTGTGCTGGCCCTGGCACTGCTGGGTAATTTGCATGTGTGTGTTCCTTGGGGGACATTTCTAATGTCTAATTTCTAATAAATGACAGAAAGCTGCAGGGTGCTCTGTCTGTCTGTCTGCTACACAGCAACAGGTAGAGGATGTACAACCTCAGAGCAAGCAGCAGTTTCTACTCTATGTTGCAGGATAAATCATCTCTCTTTACAGCAAACCCACCTTTCCCTGACTCCTTCCCACAAAGTTCCAGGTCTGACTGCTCACATCACACACACACACACAGTTAGTGCAGCTCTTGCTTCCACAGGGTACCGGTGCATGGATCTGAGAGCAAGGACTGAGCTACCCCGGCAGTGAGCTGTAACTACAGAAGGCAGAGAAAACAGGATCAGGTTGCTTAGACGCAGATGAAATAATGCCTGAAGCAGATGGGCAGTGCACAGAAGGTAGGGAGGAACCAGCAGGATCTCCTAGCTGGGAAGATGGTGCCTGTGCAGGAGGAGGAGGAAAAACACAGAAGGGAGGAAAAGAAGACAACAGTAGCATAGGGCAGAAAGATGATTTTTCCATTCTGCAAACATTCCAGGCTATTAAAAGAGCCAGATGCAGACTGTTTCAACCGTTTAATATGAATACGTCAGGTTTCATTGTACACTTCAAATGTTTTTATTTTATATAAAATTCTATCTTAGATGCCCTTCCTCAATCCCAAACTATCAAAGATAGGACCTGAATTTTTTAATGTGTCAAGACTGTATAATTTCACCCAAAAAATGTTTTGTCAAAAATGGTATGTCAGAGAACTACTTCTATTCATTCCACATGGTTGTAGTTTGTGTTCCTCCCTCTCCCCCCCCCCAAAAAAAATGATCTATGTCTAACTGTATGATTTAAGGAGTATAAGGACACTTGATGTCTCCACCAGTGGAAAGATGCTGGAAAGGAAGGAGAAGAGATAGAACTATCTACATGTGTGTTTAGAAGATAAACAGCAGCATACAGAGGGGCAGTGTCTATGAGACACATATGCTGGTAAGAGGGGCTTCTCTTGTTCTGTTACAGTGGGAAGCTTCCACACTGGAGCAAATCCAGATCCCCATCATATGATGATTGCTGTGGTTGTGAAGAGCAACACAGCTTGGGCTGGTTATCTCAATAGAACACAAGTTTTCACGTAGTGTTGAAACATGCAAAAGGCACTTCATGATTAAGGAGGAAGATACAGTCCTCAGCCCAGGGAGCTTGTTTGACTCGCTCCTGTGTAGTGATAAGCTGGGTTTAGGCTGCAGCTTCAACAGAAGCTGTAGAACTAGTCCTTGCCTCCAGGTAGGAGGCATATTGGTATCTCAATTACTCCTAATATATAGGAAGATCAGGGAAATCTCAGTGAATTCTGAGCAGAGGTTTATCCACAGACTAAGAGTGCTTCGTCTGGGATAGCCACATAGTAAAACCAGCGCCAGCAGCAGATGCACTGCTTTGTGTTTGCTGGTGATGTGCTGAGGCTTCTACCATTCCCTGTGCAACACAGAGAGCATCACTGGCAATTCCTCCTCCTGAGAGCCAGCTGAAAGCTCTTCAAGGGCTGCTCACAGGGCAAGCGTGGTCCAGCTTCTGCATTTCATGTCACAGCTTGCCTGTGAGTGGAGACACAGCCACGTGCAGGGTGCCACCCCTCATGTGCTCGGGGCTAGTCTGAACTATGGCTTTTCTCAGCACGTGTGCTTTTTCTTTTCCAAGCATACACGGTGGGATGGGGGGCTAAGAAGTGGGTTTTCCCATCTTTTCCTCCCAAGCAGCAGTCTCCAAAACAGCAAGGTGCAGAGGTATAACTGAAAAAAGCAACTCCCTTCTTGTTTTGCTCTTTGAGACTCTCCACAAGCAGTTCACCGAGCTCCTGTACCATGGGGCACGTGAAACAGGTGGAGGTAGCAAAGATGGGAATGAAGGGGGCTGCATCTCCCAGCTCTGCCGCCCCTCCATTTCACAGCTTCGATTCCTCAAGGATTATGGGATCAGCACAGGCTTCTGGCATCACTTTCTGTAAGTCAGACAGAGAAAAACAAGATGGTTAGGATCCTGGGTGGCTAGACCAAGGCTTCAAAGAGACCACCCGGCCAGAGGCTGGCTAATTCACAGTTCCCTGCTAGCGTGCAGAAATCCCCAAAGAAGAATCACCACCCTCAGAGAGTCCACCTGGTTCCCTCCTCCTTCTCTAGGCCCTTCTACTGCCCAGACAAGGGGCACTGGGGCAGCACGGTAGACCAAGAGTCCCACCTCCCTTAAGCTACTTGCTGTAGTCCTCAGGTCAGAGCTAGTTTACAGAAGCTGTACAGGCCCAGGTATCAGCCCCACAGCCAGCTCCCTAAAGACATCCCACTGTGACACAAGATCAGCCTCAAAGCAATGAAGCTGCAGATCCAGTTCCCTGGGCAAGGGAAGGAACTGGGAACTCCTCCTTCATGCCATGAGGCAGCACAGCATCTGTCCAAGCACCAGAGAGAACCTGCATCCTCTGCACCCTCAGGAGGCTCAGCACAGAAATTAGCTCCTCTCTGGCCTTGTTCTGGCATGAGCAAGAGCCTCTTCAACTCCCAGATTGCTGGTTCTTCTCATCTTCATATCTTTTCATCCCCACCCCCAATTCAGGGCTGGCATCCACTCCCACAATTCTCTGTCCCTAGTTAGGACTTACGACTGGGATAAATTCCACAGACTGGTGCAGATATGGCTTTCTTCAAAATTATTTACTCATATCTTAAAGAGTCATAAGAAATGAGGCAAACACACAAGTTTTTTTCTGCAGAGATCCTATAGAAAAATTGGCCTGATTACTTGAATCCTCCTACAATTTCTTCCCTTAAGATGGAGGGAGCTATAGATTCATTTACCAGAGGAAAAGCAAGGAACAAGGCTGCTGCCCAATTACCACCCTATCCTGGGTCACACGAAACAGCCAAACTTCTGCAATTCCAGTTCAGCCTTCCTGGGTGGAGCTTGGTGAACTCCTCTGCTCAGCCCTTCTGGGGTGTGTTAGGATTAGACTTCTCCTTCCCCCAGGGGATTTCAGATACCTCTCTTCAAGTTCGGATGCTGCTTACAGTGAGACGCCCCAGTTTTCACCGATTCAAAGACACCATGCAGACTTGTAGGGGTAAGTGTGGAGTCTCCCACAGCCTGGGCTCTGAGTTAACTCACTCTGGGGCAAGACAGACATCTGAGGCTGGAAGAGTCAGAGGTGCACAGGAAAGAGGTTCACATCCCCAGTGTGGTTCAAGAGAAGTCCAGGCAGCATGGAAGCAAGACATGCGAAACAGTTTCATTTTGAGTAGCCTCTTACACAAACTGCAGGTGAAAAGGTTTTACAGAGGTCAGCAGCAACATCCCAAAGCAGAGGAGTGAGATCAGGAAAGCTTCAAAGAGATGCCTGAAAGCAGAAGCCGGGAAGTACAAAGATGGAACTCCTACCAGCAGGAGGGCTGGGGGGGGATGCATGAAGTAGTGCCAGGAAAAATAAAGGCAAAGCTGCGCTTAGGCTTGGGAAACCCCACCAGAATGCATCATGGAAACATGATGGCAACGCTGCACAGGCTCCCCCAGCACCTCTGGGGTCTGAACACCACTCACCTGCTGTAGAGCTACAGGAAGATCAGCCAGCCTGCAGGGCTCCGCAGCCTCAGAAAAGGAAGGCTGCTCTCACAGCTGGGAGCCACAGCACTGTAAGAGGGTATGCAGATGTACTGCCCGTGGCTTTGGGAAGCCATGTAAGCACAGAAAGGGAGCAGGGAAGTCTGGGAAGCAGGGGACAGAATAAACACCATTTGTGCCTACTATGCAAAATTCCAGCAGGTTGTGGTTGTGGTTTTTTTTTTTTATTGGCAATATTTCATTAGAGAGTAAGCATGCTACAGCTTGCAAGGGACTCCAGTAAGCTGCTCAGGCTGGATGCTTGCCCTAATGCCTCTAAATCACACTGGCCTCAGGAGGAAAAAGCAACATGCTTTTGGCTATTCCACTGGGATCCATCGGATGCGTTTTTGCATCCAGGCAAACATACAACCAGTGAAAGAAGGTACTTAGCCCTGATGAAGTCCTGACTTACCCGGGACACAGTTTAAGGACATAGCAGAACTTCAGTCCTGTTTTAAAGAAATCACTTGCTGTGGCTGTATGCCTAGAGCAGGTCACTGGTCATCCAAAAATCATCCAGACAAAGGTTTTTAGTTTTACTACAATTCAAAAACCAGGACAAAGTCTGAAACCACTTTACTCCCTACTCTCTGCTATTGAGAACAGGTTCTTCACACACACACAAAAAAATAGTTTATCTACCACTACATAAGACCGGCACAAAATAGTCTCAAGTGCCCTGAGCACACATTAATCAAATTTGCAAGTTTCAAAGAGGCCTAGCAAAGCCCAGTTTGAACAAAAAGGCACTCCTGCCATTTTGGAATACTACACTCTATATGATAGCTGCTTTCTTAAAAATCAGCATACCCCAAGCAGGCATGCCCAGCTCATGCAGCTAGAGCTTCTCAACTACTCGGTCCCAAATCAACACCACACGTGTACCCTGCTAAAGCTGCCACAGACTGCAGCATGGGGACAGCTTCAGAAGCACTCAGCCTGGAGTCAAATCTTTCCCTGCTCGTGGGACTCTTCCTCACACTTGCATCAAAGCATGGCAGCTTCACACTTCCTGTAGCACATGCTCTTGGCTTAGCAAGATTAAGGCTGTTTTTCCCAACAGACTCACTCTGCTTTTGCCTGTTAGTCCTGTTGGCTGTGGCACTAAGTGATGCATACACTTGATGAACACCTTGAAAACCAAAGGGTAGCATGGTTAACTTCGCAGATCAGCCAGTCAGTGCGAAGCAGAGGACAGTGAGTAATAAAGCATTACACCCCAAGCAACAGCTGAGAAAATGCCAAGTGCCAAGAGATTCACAGATCAGCAAGCACAGAGGTTTAAAATTTTCAGGCATTCTTATACCAAAAGGCACCAACCCAATGACTCTTATCACTAGATGTTTTTAAACTTCCTTCTTGAAGTTGGCCACATGCCCTGGCTGTGATCAAAGCCAACTCTTTTACAGGGTTCCTGGTATCACTTCCAGCCAAGAATATGGACTATAAAAATAATGTCAGAGAAGAGCCTCCAAATGCCTGCCTCCTCTCACCCAATAACCTACTGACAATTCAGTTCTCCATCTGTCCCAGCATCAGGCTTTGCCTCGCCGCATGTAGCTGAATCCCTATGCCCTTATCTGACACGAGTCTGGTGGAATCTCCACACTGTTCTTGAAAGCTATCTTGTCTTTCTTCTTAGGTGGGTACCCAAGGCAGCCAGAAGGATTCTCAGTACTCCGAGTCACGCCCAAAAGTGCCATTGGCTTGGTGCCTGTGCCACCCGTGAGCGTTCACAGAAGCAGATTAGTGCGATTGTCCTACCTTTGTGTATGAGCTAGTGAGCAGGAATAGGAATTGGTGGGGTTAGGGTTACGAGCTACAGTCCCATAATCCATGATCTGATTGCTGCCTTGGAGTCTCTGTAACAACAGCCACAAGTCACCATCCCAGAAAAGTAGGGAGGCAAGTAGGGAGGGAAACGGAAGAGGGAGAAAATAAAAATAAAAAAGGAACAGGCAAAGGAAGAAACCAGTAAAATCACCCAAGCATGTGTAAGGCAGCTGTGCCATGTAGAAAAGCTCCAGTACCTGAGTCTGTCAGAGCTCTCCACAAAGGCAACAAAGGCAGCACACAATGCCCAAGCCCAGCTGGCTGCTCCCTGAGGCACCCATGTTAGTACAGAACCCCAGATTCAGCCCATCTTCAGTTGGTCGAGCCCCTAGGGTTGTTTTTAAGTTTGAGAAGTACCCAGGTGAGCCATATGGAAGCCACACTTGGAGGTATGGTGGGGTGTCCATCATGGACTTCCTCAGAGCATGACTCCTCAGGAGGAAGAAGCTGCCAGTGATGTTTTTGACTGAGACATGTTACCTCACACATATCCCTCTAGTTCTTACTGCAGTCAGTTCTAGAGGCTTTTAGGATTATAGAAATGACACCTGTATCATCTTTGCTCTGGTCTCAACACCCTCCCCCCTCCAGCAGCAAGCTCTTACAATTGCATTTATACTACAAATGGCTTAAGCAAAAAGCATACAAATAATCTGTTGAGAGAAGTGTCTGACAAGGGGAAAGGACCTCACTACTACTAGGCATCACGTTTGCTGCCAAAGGACACTGATATTTCCTGGGCCTTGCACATACATGTTATGAATTAACTCACAGTTCCACCAGCACCTCTAATTACCACCCTGCTGCCTCAGGGCTTGTGGAGGATGGTTTGGTCTTGCAATTCATCTTCTGCCTTTGGCTTCAGCACTGTTTATCAAGGATACAAGCAATGTGGCATATATCAAAACAGGCTGGTCTTTACCCCAGCTCAGCTTAGCTAAGTGTGTTCCAGTTAGCCCCATTCATGTCAGGGTTTTGGGAGAGCAGTCTAGCAGACTAGCAGTCTAGCTTGGTCCCATAGACCACGATGCTCACCATTGCTAAAATCAGCCAAAGTTTTAAGCCTCAGAGCAGAAAAAAAAGCAGGAATTCTTTTTAAGTTGTGACAATGAGGTAGGGACTCCTTTACCCAAACAAGAGAAATTTTGCAGCCTTTCCCCCGCATCTGGTCTGGAATTACATGTGCAAGAACTAATCAAGACAGCATCAATTCCCTTTACTTATCCTACCCTCTGTGTTTGTGCTCAGATAGTTCAGTAAAAAGAAATAAAAAATAAAAATAAAATAAAAATTTAAAAGCATATATTTTGTAATTGAAAATCCACCTTCTTGAGTGGAGCAGCCGGTTGGGGCAGAGCTGCTTCTTGGACCTTCTGATCAGTCTCCAGATCGGACTGGTTAGATTATCTGGAGGAAGGCAACACTGTCTTCTGAAAAAAGCTGACTTGAGCCAGCAGAGAACTGAGCTTATGCACTTTGCTAGTCATGGTCGCTGGTGGCTTCATGAACGTTGAGTGGACATCTCTGCTAATATCCTAGAAGAGGAGTCCAGAGCAATAAGGAAAAGAGCCTCAAACAACCACCAGTCCCCTCTCTTTCCCTGCAGGGAGAGCTTTTAAGAGTATCCACTGCAATTAGTTCACCAGAGGCCCTCTCACACATGCAAACAGCTGCATAAATTGCACAGAATGCCCCAGGGACATCATACCCTGAGCTCGGGTGTGCACATACGAACTAGCAGCCTTGTCTTCAGCACTGTGCAAACTGCAGAGAACCAGGCTGCTCCAGCCCTCGCTTGGGCACCTAACTTCCTCCAGTCCCATACACTGAACCCCACTTGGCAGCTGAGGATAGGGAGTAAGAGGAATAACCTGCCTCCCTAGGGGCCTGGAATAATAGTTACCCAGCTCCAAACAAGGGCAGAGCACTGGAGGGCTCAGTGTGTTGTCAGGGGAGGCAAGCAAGCACAGTGCTGCCATACATCTGACTCTAGCCACTATGAAGATGTGTGAAGCCCTACAGGCTCCCAGAGCCTAGAGATTCTGCCTGACATTAGCAGTAAGCAGACAGAGGCCCCAGCAGCTGGCAGAGCTGGGATTACAGCCACCTGTCTGAAAACGCCAAAAAGGAGCTTCCCCACAGGCTGGGCAAGAAGCTGCAGGGTAAGAGAAGAGAATCACAGCTGCTATCCTAACTCACAAAGGGCCAGCCCCATTCCTAAAAGGACAGTGGCTGGGTGTTGTCCTGAGCTAATAGCAGGGGCACAGCAGGGATCGAAGAGGGGTTTACTCACTGTCTGTTCATTGTCCAAATTGGCCCGCTGTCTTCGGAGATCAGCCTTAATGAATGCTGGGAGAGAGGGAAGAAGAGAGATGTAAAGGTAGTTAAGTGACCATGCAGAGCCCAAATCCATTTTCCCAGGACTCAAAGGGGCAAACAGAGGCCCCAGAGGAGACAGGAGTGTGTTATGGTGAGCAAGGGAAACCCCTCTCCTGGGTAAGGCAGAGAACACTCCTGGAACAGGCAGGATAGAGACTCCTTATTGGAGCATGTGCAAGGTGCATCTTTGAGACCCCAGCCAGCAGTCAGGGCAAGAAGCCTTGGATCTTCTTTGTAACACAGACCAGCTGCTTAAAGAAGCACAGCAGCATGGCTATGGGACTGCTGTGGGACTCCTGCCCATTCCGGCAGGCACCACTACACACAAAAGCCCTTCAATTCGTATGCCAAGCCCAAGGGGAAGAGTCACAGCAGAGGAACACTGACAAATTTAATTACCTGTCATAATAGTCCCCAGAAACAGGAAGGAACAAAGAAGGATATTTCCTGCCTTCGTCCCAAAGCGATCCATGATTTGCCCTTGGCCGATGGTGAAGGCAATACCAAAAATCTACAAACAAAGGCAGTGTCAAACTTTACTGTTACTGTAAAGCAGTCTGAACAGCTTCCCAGCTTTACTAAAGTATCAGAGCACACAAGCCAGCCAAGCTGTTAGCCTAATAAGGCTAAAGTTTGGTTATAAACACATCCAGAGGCACCTCCTTGCAGCTGATGGGCACACAGGTGACCCTTAAGGCTTGAATCCCATCTCTCACTGGAGAAGAGACACGTCCTAGGCTGTCACGAGCAATATTGGAAAAAGCAAGGATGACTGGCATCATAATGGATTTTCCTAAGCAGAAATAGAATGGGTGCCACTAGAGAAATGCTGCGAGGAACATCATTCAACGAGTCAGGTCCTGGGGTGCTTAGATCTGCAGTACATTACAATAATCATGGACAAGAAATAGGAGTTAAGGCTGGGAACTATAATTTAATCTCTCTGCCTATAAAGAGGGAAGCAAAGGGAAAACAGCACACCTACCTGTGCTGAGACATTAAGGAGCCCTGATGATGTTCCTTCCGATTCTGGGTAAGTCAACTCTGCAGCAAACTCAAAGCCCAGGGGAAGGTATCCTGTCATGAAAAACCTGTAGAAACGCACAGAAAGGAAGACTCAGCAACTGTCAGAGCGAAGACTGAAAAGGCACAGTGTAGCCTATACATTGGGATGCTTCACAGGATGTTTCCCCCAGCATTGTCACAGCCCAGGCAGCTCTCTGACTCCCTCACCGTGGCACAGATCTTCTTTCTACTCAGAAATAACTTTGTCCACAGCCTCAAGGCACAGAGCCAGGCCAGCAGGGAGCTGCCAGTTGCTACAAGAACAAGGCATTAAAAGCAGCATCTCCCACAAGTAACGCTAAGTGGCATCACCCCATGCACAGTCAAACAGCCACCCAAGCCCACATGCTTTTCACTCCTGCCCACCAGTCACCTATGTGGTTGCGGTACCACTCGCTTCCCAAATGTTTTCACTTGAGCAGCTGGAACATTTAAGGCAGCTGCAGCTGAGCAGGGCCACACTAATGTTGGTGACTAATGAAACATGTACAAGAAAGAGATGGGGAGAGCATATAATTTTGTCTTTAAACCACACAGGAGCCACACACAGGCTGTGGCCCTCCCCAATCCCTCCTGCACCATGAGCTCTGCCTCCCTGCTCATTCCCCAGCAGCTCACAGGTAGAGATGAACTTACCCCAGCATGCCTGCAGTCACAAAGACCACCCAGAGGTGGCCTAGGCTCAGAGTGAAGGTGTAGGCTATCATTCCCACCAGAGACATGATATAGACGACTAGCGTTGTCTGTCTGCAAGAAAAAGTAGAGTCAGGGCTTTATGTAATCCAGTCCTCCTATTCTTTTCGCCCACACACCTTGGCATAGTTTGTGCAGCACATGGACAAAAAAAAAAATAAAGTTGTGCAGCTCTCTGACACCCTTACCTCAGACAGAGGAACTGGACTGACAGAGAGCACAGAAGTGCCTGCACACACAGCAAGGCAGCAGGAGAAGCAGTAACATGAGCTAGGAGTTTTCACATCCCTACCTCATGACCAGGGGCTTTGGTCCCTGTGGGGTTGGGGAACTGGCATCACATTTATTGGGAGGCATCTATGAATTTAAGAAGCTCCGATCCTACTACAGGCTGACAGGTCCCTGGTCATGTACTGTACACACCTCTTGGGGAGAGGACGAGGGCCAAATAAAGAGATCGTTAATCTTTCTTGGACACGCTTACTTATAAGCAGTAGCCAAGGGAATCGAGCACTTCCAAGCAGGGAAGCAAAGGGAAGAGATGACAACACCGCTACAGTGTTATGGGCCTGCATTTTTCAGTGCTATCCCCTCCTTTCTGTGTTGAAACTGCCTAGTGTACTTGGAGAGGTGACGTGCAAGCCAGATTGCTTTCACAGGCTCACCTTCAAGCCATGGGAGTGTTTATCATCAGGGCTAGTGCCAGTCCCACAGCCTGCAGCAGCAGCTAAGCCACAAGCTCTCGTCTCCGGGCAGAAGGGACAAAGCAGCCCTGTGCCCAGGAAGCACGCCAGGCAGATCCTGGGAACAGCCAGCCCTGCAGCCTGGCCAGGCTGAGGAATGTCAGCGGGGTCACTGCTGCAGGACACACACAGCAGTCCAGGCCAGCCTCTCCAGAACTGAAATGTTAGCAATTGTCATCCCTGACTAGACACCAAGGAACGCCTTCCCACATCCAAAAAACAAGGCTCTTTATAGTGCAGGAGGTAGGAAGCAGCTCTTCACCGTACATCATTTTGGGAACGAAGGAAGGAAAGGTAAACCCTTTACCTGACTGAAATTCCACCAGCATCTTGATAGCAGAACATTTACCAGAGTTGACAAAACCTTTTGGCCATTGTCTTTTAGGAAGAAGTTAAATGTATAACCACAAGCTACTTGTGTACTTTCTACCAAATTTTAGTCTTAATCCACTAAAGAACGTGTTTGGTATCAGTTCCTAGATTTCTACTAAAGAAACTAAACCTCAATCTATTTTCACTTTTTTTTTTCCTTTTTAATGCAAATGACCACCGTCAAAAATGCAACCCCAAACAGTATTGTATTGTATAATAAAATATTTCCAGTTCACTGAATTACTGCAGATAAAACCAGAATTTTCCAGCTAAGGTTCTGTCCTCCCTTACTGCTTCAATAACAGAAATCAGCGAGGTCCATGTCATATGTCAATTCTTATCTAAATACAGGCTTGAGAAGCTAATTTCAGACTTCAACTATCGATCTATACTTACAAAGGTTCACCAGACACATTTAATGTACTGAGAGGCTAAACAACAGTTTGAAAGACTCAGAGAAGTTAGAAAGCAGTCCCAGAAAGTGAAAGAAGCAGGTAAAAGCCTTTTTCTGCTTAATACGGGTTGCTCAGATATCTCCTTTGAGTTCTTATGCCTCCCATCCCTTGACAAGCAGCTGTGGAGGAAAAGAGCTGACCAGGAGAAGAGCTCAAGGCTAGAATTACAGCTCCCTGGGCTGCACGGCCAAGTTTGTATTGGGTGCTCCTTCCATAAACAGGAGTCTCCAAACTACAGAGCAGTCAGTGGTAAAATACAGCGCAGAACTCCAAGAGGTGGCTATGGCCCTAAGAAGCTTAGTCTCTGCCAGCAGGGACAACTTGGCACACTTTTTTTTTTTTTAATTTCCTCCCCACAGCCAGTTTTGGACTCAGCACAGAGCTCTTAGGATAGTCCCAGAAAATCTCATGCAGTCTCCTGGGCTTATGATTCGAGTATTCCAAGCGATTTGTATCTGATTCACCCTGTTGTGACAATTGCACTTGGCCCCTCATCGTCAGGCAAAGGTGATGAATGAGTTAGTGACCAGATGTGGTCAGGACTTTGTTTCATAATGATACTCTGTCTTTAGTCAAGCTGCAAGAAAGAAGTTCCCAGAACATGCAGCCCCCACACACACCGAGAGCTAGCACAGGCAGGCTCCTAGGAGCAGGCAGCTCTTGAAGGTGTTCTCCAGAACTAAGTGGGTGACCAAATGGAGAAAATTGTTTTTATCTTGCCATGGGTACCTTGTCTACTGCACATAAACTGGCTCTAGGAGGCTATGAACTTTCCCCACTGAGCCTCATTAGGCTCCAGCAGGAAAAAAAAAAAAAAAAAAAAAAAAATCGACAGACCCTTGTGAAAGAACAAGACCGCAGGCTTGAGTGCTGTGGAAATCACACACCAAGAAGTGCCCTGAAGCCATGCACCTGCTCCCCACAGTCCCTAACTGGGACTGGAACAGACAGCCTGACCCAAACTCCTGCTGCAGGAAACAGCCACAAGCACACAAGCAGACTTCTGCTAAACCAGACTTCAGCAAGACCCTGCTCCCCTGAGCATAGCCCTGATGACAAAAAAGGAGATTTGGCACCCAGAAGTCCAAGCAAGACCCAAAATTTTGAACAGGGTTTAACTGAGGCACAGCTAGACACGGGTTCATAGGGAAACAAAGAAACCCCTGGGGAAAGATACCAAGGCAGAGCATTTTTCAGGAAGTGGCCTTTGTCACCAAGTCACTAGAGGACAAAGAAGAATGAATGCTCTGTGGCCCTCAGGGCACCAGCACATGGAAGAATGCCCAGTTTTGCTTGATAAGCCTCATATCATAGTCATAGATATCTTATGGAAGAGATAAAAACACAAAGGAGGAGCAGATTCTCAGAGGACATTCACACAGCATTGTGATGTTTTTAGCAACCTGTTGCCATGATGGCCCTACAGGGACTAATCATTATTGTCTGGAACAGGTACCACCTGTCTCCTTAACAGGCTGACTAGAGCAGTGGGAGCAGGCTGCAAGTTACCCCTCCTGCTGCATCACCTTAGGACAACTGGGGTTGACTACCTCTGTGCTGTGAGGTGTGGGAAGGCAGCCCAGCCCACCAACCCGGAACCAATGCTACAAAGGCACAAGCTGCCAAGTCTCTGTGGCAGAGCCAGAAGGAGATCTGTGAAGGAGATGACACGCTTGTCACTTAGGTGAACCTAAGCCGCCCTGACGTTCATCTCCCCTCCCAGCCACATTCCCTACCCTTCTGGAGAGGCAGATTAAAGAGCTCACACAAGGGACTGTGAGAAAAGAGAGACCTCAGAGGAAAAAAAGCCAGCCAGGGCCAGCACCAGCAGGGGACAGGACTGAGATGGAGAGCACAGCTCCCACTGTTCAGCTAACTTCAGAGGAAGCCCTAGAGTAAGGCTTTGGTGGGCACCTGCCGCCCAGCCAGGGTCAACTCACCACAAATAGGCATGGCCCAGCCAAGCCATGTCTCACAAGGTCACTTGGATGAGGAAAACCAAAGGGACAGGATCACAGGGGATCGGAGCTGCGAAAACACTATAGTCAAGCAACATCTGAAGCAACAAATGAACAAGAGGCAGGGGGAGGCCACAGCCATGTGCTATGGCTTTAGCTGCTCACTGGAATGTTGTGTGCAGCTCCAGGGCACTCCTCCATATGGACTGGGGTGAGAGACGGCCTCCACAGGCTTTGCTATGAGGATGGCACATTCCAGGCTGTGCAAGACCCCAAACGAAGGCCTGGTCCCTGTACTCCCAGAAGGATCTCACTGCGGAAGACACTGAGGTGTTAGATGCTGGAGAAGGGAAGAATTGAAGAGGGCTGGTTTGGTTTTCACCGCCCCCTCATCCTCCCTCTGGCACTCAGTTTTATGCCACTTTGTTCCTGTATGAAGGTCACAAAAAAAGGACAGCCTTGGTAAATTACTTACATAAGACATATGTCATGACAGGGTGAAGGCATATCCACTACACAAGGACTAACCTGCAAAAGGGCTACAAGAAGACGACCCAAATTGCAGGCCAGACTAGGCTGAGAGAGCACTCCACTTCCAGTGGAAGAGACCCAAGTGCCCTATTCTTCAATATCCCCAAGTCCTTCCTCCCCCTCCCAAATTTTAATGCACTTTAGGCCTATACAAACATAAATTTAAAATGCCACTTGGGGTCCTGTGCCTAGTCAATGGAGAGAGATGGGTATTTCTGACATCTTGCCTTACAGAGGTGCAGCGATGACAGCAGACAGCACCGTCTGGAACCAGCTAGACCCAAGACCACGTGAACATCTCTTTGGCCACACTTTGCTTTTAAGGGCAAAGTGCTGATTAATCCTGTCCCCAAACCTCTGGTTCTGAGCCAGATTCCCCTACAAATATCAACATACCCAATAGTCTCCAGGTGTCACAATTCCATCTATCCTCTTAGCCAAGAACCTGAAGGGTGTACATGGAGCCCTACTTAATGTGATGTCAAAACGTGTCCTTTTGAAGCAGTGGGCTGTTCTTAACAAGCCACCACCTCAGTTCTGGGACTGTTCACTCGTCACAACGTAACTCACGTATTTGTATGGGCCAAATCTGTGCCTGCTAATTCTAAACATATGAACAGCACAGGGGCTGCTGTAGGGACTTGCCTGCCAAATAATAGCAAGAATGCAAGGCCATTTGGTGCCTGAGCATGACAGATGGGGAAAGCCTGACTTAGCACAGCTTCACCCTTTCAAGGAACTGCTGATGGGACAGTAAAGATCAAACACGCATGTAGAGCTCTGCAATTCCTTCTGTTATTAACCTCCCCCTGCTCCCCTCAATCACAGCTGGATCCCATTCACTTGCTTCCCTCTCTCCCTAAAAAAAAAGGACTTGACATCTTTCCTTCCTGATTTTCATGTGCTTACCATTTTGCTCCTGACACTGCCTGAGCAGCAGAGGGAAGGGGGAGGGTACCTACCTAGAACATCTGGCATCTTGACAGTTTTTTTAA